AACATCGTGTTATAGATCGTGATTTTATTCTTTAGGTTTAACTTGGATTTTCTGTTGATCAAAGGGTACAGGCTTGCCACCCGACCCTGGATCTTTGCCTTCACGCTTAACAGGTGCGGATTCCAGGTGAGCCTACGGTCTATTAGAAGACCGAGGTACTTGACCCGCGTCTGCCAGTCAATCTCTCTTCCAGAGATTCTCACTTTCATAGCCGCAGAAGATGTTGTTCTTCCCATGGTTATCGCCTGAGTGTTTCTGGGTTCACTCGGATCTTCCACTCGAAGTACCAGCGCTCGAGGTCGCCCAATGCACGTTGCATATAGACGATATCTATCCCCCGACCCATGGAAGACGTGAGGAGAGCCGTGTCGTCGACGTCGTAAGGTCGCTGGTGTAAAGGGAGTACAGCGTGGGAGAGAGCACGGCCCCCTGTGGCACTCCAGCAAGGATCTCTCTGTTATCAGACAGAAAGCCCTCTACTCTAATCTGAAATGTTCTGTCTTTCAGGAAAGACCCAATCCACCGGATCAGGCCCCGAGGCAGGTCGAACGCGATTAGTTTGTGTAGAAGGCCTTCATGCCAAACCCGGTCGAAGGCCTTCGAAATGTCTAATGAGACTAGATGGACTTTTTTATTCCTATTTAGCTCTGCGATGGTATTTTCGACCAGTCTCAGAGCCTGCAACTCAGTGGAATGCTTTCTCCTGAAGCCGAATTGCTCGTCAGGCAGAACATTTCGGTCCTCAACTTCTTCGTTGAGCCTTTGAAGTACGACTTTTTCAGCCAGTTTAGCCGCCGACGAGAGCAGACTAATCGGGCGACAATTCTGTGGGAAAAGCCGGTTCTTTCCCTGTTTTGGGAGCATGACGGCGATCGCATGTTTCCACTTTCTGGGGAAGTATCTTAGAGCCAGTGAGCTGGCAGTTTTCCGGGAGCTTCTTCAATAACTTGTTTGTTATTAAGTCAACCCCCGGAGCTTTCTTGGCCTTTGCAGCCTTGATATAGATCTTTGATTCTTCCACAGAAGCCGGATCATCATCCTCCCTGAGAATGCGGTGAACCCGATCTTCTAGCAGAATATCGCGGTCGATGTCGTCATTGTCGTCAACGTTAAGCTGAAACTGACGTTCCATCGTGTCAGCAAAAGCCAACGCTTTGTCGGCGGGGGAGTAGCACACTCCGCGCTCTCCGTGAATGGGTGAGGGAGCTACCTTCTTTCCCTTGAGTCTACGAGTGATTCGCCAAAGCTCGTCACTCCCAGGCTCAATGCTTTCCAACAGCTCCTCCCACCTCTCATTCCGGTGATCAATGATGGCCTGTTCTACTTAATTGGCCATCCTGTTTACCGCTGTTTTGTCTCCTGGGAAAAGTGTTCGCTGATAGAGCCTTCTCAGGCGATTTCTCTCTCGTATCAAGGCTTTGATACGAGGGGGAAACTCATTATAGCTCTTCAGCGGACACTCCTCACTGGAGGTGGCCGTCCGAAAAGCATCATTCACAGAGGTCTCGAAGCGGTGAACTGCCGCGTCGAGTTCGTTGGGAGAGCGGAGAGCCTCAGGAGGGATGCGCATCTCTCCGAGCTGAGCTGTGAAGATATCCAATCCGTCTTATATCTCATGCGATAATCAGGGGAAGGAAGATCATCACCCAATACCAGGATAACTGGATGCTGAGGTGTGTACAGTTTTTTGCAATTCGAGCAACATGATTGTGCCAAGATATAATGGTGTCCATTTTAAACTTATCGAAGCAGAAAGCGGAATTGTCTGACATGATATCCGGTTCAAGACATTCATCTTCTTGGATAAAACCGATGCCTGGGTTCTTGTGCCTCCGTAGCCGATGCCCTGGAATCAAAATGGAATTACGAGACAAGTGTGCTGTCGTCAACAAAGCAATATATTGTACTCTTGGTTTTTCCCAATAAGCCCCAATAGTAATACAATGAAAAGAGGGTTGGAGACAATTTGGATCCCTGGGGAACACCAGCGTTGATGGTAGAAGTATTTCAGAGTTAATCGACGGCCACTTGCACGGCACATTCTTTCAGGAAGCTGAAGAGCCATACACAGAAATTATCCTACAAGTCATAGCATCGAAGTTTGGCCAGCAAACCCTCATGCCTTAGAAATGTCAAGCGCTGCAGTTCCTGTTTCTCCGTCTTTCTCGATTGCGTTATTCCAAATATGGGTGACATACGATAAAAGGTCGCCTGTTGATCTTTGTTTCTGAAAGCCATATGGATGATCGCTCAAGATGTTGAAGTCTCCCAAATATTCGAGGATCTAGAGGTTTACGACTTTCTCTATGATTTTTGATATTACTGATAGCAAAGCGACTAGTCTATAGCTATTTGAAAGATTTTTTGGTCTTTTTGGGAATAGGCTGAACGCGAGCAATCTCTCAACAAGAAGAAAAAACTCCTTTCTTGTAAGACAGGTTGAAAAGTCTGCAAAATACTGACTTTTTGAGTACGATGACGGGCACTTCATCAGGGCCAGACGCCTGGTTGATATTACGCTGTTTCAAAATTTGCCTGACTAGACGATGTTGAAAAGTAATTTCCGGTATTGTGGATTCTATTTTGGGAATAGTGGGTGATGCCTTTTTTTGCAGAAAATCGACTGTGGAGGGAGACGCAAATTTTTCATCTAGTAGATTTGCTTTTTCTATGGCTCTTGTTGCAATGGAACCATCCGCTTGTATTAGTCAGTACTTACCAATTCCCGTTGGCATTGGCAAGTACTTCATCTCTAATTTTCTGATTGAAAAGTTCTTTGCTTACATTCATTCTTCAATTCATGCTAAGATTGCAGCTGTTGCAAGCATTACCGAACCTAGTTCCGTTCTTGAAGATTATCCCACTCAGCAAATCTGTAATGTCAAACTTTGCGCGGCTTAGATTGTTGAAAATTAACAGCTCCATCTCATGAACAAAGCACCAAGAGGTCGGATCTTTCATGCACTGATGAGAGGCAATACCTCAAAACCGGTCTGTAGGTGATTTACAGGACTGATTTCAGTATGGCACTGCTGCTGGACGAATGAAAAACATCTGAGAGACTAACCTCTGTGACGTATTTTACGTAAAGGTCTGAAGAATATAATTGTAGCGTGGTATAAGCCAGGAAAGTAGTTGTTTTTCGGCGGGCATTCACCAGAACCTACGATGTAGGTACTTTTGGGGAAATTAGTGTTTCGAGATTTCGTTTTGTAATTTTCTTTTCTCAGTAATACAATGTTGAGTTTTTATGATACAAATTGTTCTATGGCACGGGATTTTTGAAACATTCAATGAAACTAACATTAAAAAAATCCTTTGAGAGGTTCATTAGAGACATCGTTTCTTGCAACAGATCACTGATTACATCTGGTAATGTGATTTTGAATACCTAATGATTTTCTGCAAATGTGAATTACACTTGCATTCTCTTCCACTTTCTTTCTAATTTCACCATAGGTGTATCAAAAGACTCGTAGTTGGATTTTCATGACGACTCATCACCATCACGTTGAAATTACCTACAAGAGCAATTACTCTTTTAAATAACCGTTAGTCTACGAGTTTTTATTCAAAATGACTTCATAACATATCAGTTCCTCGAAAGAGATGAGTACAGTGAACCAAGAGGATAATTTTTTTTTGTGTTTGATTTGATTTTCGTTCACCGTGAAATTAGATTTGTGATATTGGATGAAAAACTATCCCCAATTTGATGGTGACTTATCGGCACCGTTACAGTCTCGTTTTCTGACGAATCACTGTTTTCTTTTGTTAGACACAGTTATAATATCTCAGGTTCATGTGCAGACAATATCGATTACTTCGCTGATACCCGGTTATTTTCAAAAAAAAATATAAAATCACTCAAATAACAAATATTTTGTATTGAAATTATTCACCAGTCAAAGTCTTCCTTTGAAAATCACAGATAAGTATAAACGTTTTCTGACAATAAAATTATCTGAAAGAACAATTCGTTTAGGCCCGTCTCAAATCACCTACACTGTAGGCTAATGGACTGACACCTATCGGAAACAACTACTCCCTGGCTAATACCACGTAGGGCATTTGTCGGATATAATCCAAGCCCTTCGTGGTATTTGCCAGGAAAGTAGTTGTTTTCTGATAAGTGTCAGTTCAATAACTTACAGTGTAGGCGATTTGAGACGTGCCTGAACAAATTGTTCTTTGGTATAATTTGATTTACAGCCAGTGTCCAAATATGCCTTCTCAATTTGTGTTTGTTTCTGATAATAATTCATTGAATTCGTGAACAAGCAAAATTTCTTAGCCCTTGTTTGAAGCCCCAGTTTTTTCATGTTATGCACCAAGTTCAATAAAATAATCAATCAGCACGACTCATATCTGACGGTTAATGATCAGTGGGCAAAATAACCGTAGTCTGTGGGCAAGAATGACAGTCCAGTAAATTGATCCGGACAAGACTAAAGTCCAAATTTAGAGACTACAGTCAAAGTTTCGGGATTATAGTCGAACTTTAGAGTTTGGAGTCGAAATTTCACGGAGGCTCAAAAGGGCTACATATTTTCATCATTTGTTTTTTGGTTATTATGACTTTGATTCTGAAATTTGGCTCACAACCCAAAATTTTCAGTTTGAAGTCCAATTATTGAGGGAGCGCATTACTCGTTTTTTAGGAAATTACGACTTCATTTCCGAAATTTCGAGATTAAAGTTGAAATTTCGAAATTTTAGTTAAATTTCGACTTCAATCCCAAAATTTCGAGTTCAAGAAACAAATAATAAAAATATGTGGCTCTTCTGCGCTTCCGTAATTATTCGTTATCAAATGAAATATTCCTGAGACGACTATATCACAAAAAATTCGATCTAGAAATCTAAAATACTATCAAAGAGTTTTCCGAATGAAACCTAGATAAATTTTCAAACGGTATTCTGGAGAACAATTCTAACATTTCCCGTTTGAATTGGAATGATTCCAATCGGAGAATTATTTAAACTGAATAAAAAAGTACCTCTTCTTCTTCCCGTTCCTCAGAGTCATTGGTAACAGTTCACAAACTATCCAAAATGTCACAAAATCGATTTTTCATCACATACTTGCCGAACAGCAAAAGCGCGCACGATTTTTATCTCTGTCGGTACTTGGCGTGCACCTGTTATTCACCGAGAGAAGGAAAAACAACTGACTCGTCGCTTCTTGCGACTGACTTACAAGACGTTGCACCGCTACCATAATCTGCGGCCTTTAAATCCAGCGGTGGTCAAACTGTGGTGACGGTCAAGGACAGCAGAGATTTTGGTGGACTGGAAATTAATATTTTTCAAAGATTAACTGGAAGAATAATTTGTTCAGGACACCTAAACTGTACGTTAATGCACTGACCTTTCAGAAAACCACTATTCCCTTGGGTAATACCACGAAGGGCTTTGGATTATATCCAATAGGTGTCAGTGCAGAAATCTTCACAGAAGTATTTCCTGCAAATGCTGTTGGCGAAACAACTGCTGGATCGACTTTCAATTATAGGAAAGGACACACATGCAAACCGGTTTCGGGCTGTTTGGTCACTCGTCAGTGCAAGGTAGAGCACTATTCCATAACTGAAAACCAAATTCCTTTCAGAGTATCATTCCAGTAACCAAGCTGGAGCGAAAAACCAACAACAAATTTGTCATTGCTGCATCTGGTACTAACCAATCGCATATCCAAAATTTGCCCAATTTCTCGTGTAAGGAAAAAAACATTCACATATATTCAGTGGACATACTTGAAGAATGGCTGTATATCGAATCAACTAAAAGAACAAATTTGTTCAGGCCAACAGCATATGCATGAAATACTTCTGTGGTGATTTTGATAGTTTTCTTTCAGACACAAGATTTATCAACTGAAACCACAAATGTGCGGTTAGCTCTTGCTGGTGGCTCCGTGCATTTGTATTTCTATCTTTTGCCCTTCCTTACACTTGGCTGCACCATACTGTACTGCACCATACTGTTTGAGTGGGTTTTCGATATACAGATGTTTCCCATAAAAAAGGCAATTCGTTGTGGACTTCCGTTTCCATTGTTAAATTGATGGAAGGACTTACGTGCTTCAGGAAAGTGTCTAGTTCTGCATTACCATGGTTCCATATTATGAAGGTGTCGTTTACGTATCTCAACCAGACTCGGAGCTTCTTGTGGGCTTTTTCAATGGCCAGAGTTTCAAATCGCTCCATATATACATATATTGGCTATAAACAGTGAAAGTGGCAATACCATTGACAGTCCCTCATCTTGTGTAAAGAATGCGTCCTTCAGTTGGAATTAACAGTTTCGTACACAGCATCCTAGTGATTCCATGGTTACTTGTATCGGTGAATCAAATCAATTCATATTATATTAGACAATGGAACTCTGAACTGATGAAATACAGTGTTATGTGCCTTGATTGGAAGGACGAAGATTATATTTCGAAGTCTCAGCAACGACAATTTCACTGTCAGGGATCTGATGTTTGCCAATATATCAATGCTTCCGACTGCAATGTTTCAAAAACTGATAACGTTGAAGAGAATGAATACATTTGCTGGTCTTGCTAATAATTCTTCCAAAGAACAACTCTATCCAAACGCCTATGTGGCAGACTTGTTGGTTCAAAAAAGTGAGCCATTTTCACTCAGAAGATGTGGTGTTCATTTCTGATTCTTGTGCAATCAAGGTGAGTAGAAATTTCCATTTATAGAGAAGGAAATGTATATTTTCAAATCGTGAGTTTTACGTCTTTATTATTCTTCCAATTGATTTGAGTGAATGTCTATTTAAAGTTCAATGCTTTTATATTTGGGTGAAAAAATAGATTCAAATCAATTTTCTTGCCTTCATTACAAAATTTAAATATTCTTTCGATATTCAATTCATTCTTGAATAGTTTCAACGTTATCTCGAACACTGAAATAACAAATATTACTGGAGTTTTTTTCTCAACACCAAACCATTATTTTAACACCTCGACACGTGTTTTGATCACCAAGTGATCATTTTCAAGAGGAAGTTCAGTCTTCCTTTCGTTATTTCAACACTTCGACACGTGTTTTGATCACCAAATGATCATCTTCAGAAGGAAATTTAATCTTTCTCTTGAAGATAATTACTTGGTGATCGAAACACGTGTCGAGGTGTTAAAATAACGGTTTGGTGTTGGGAAAAAACTCCAGTAATATTCATTACTACACCAAAGGAAGCAAATATTCCAAACAGTGCATTATCAGTACTGAAATAACATTCAATGAAAACTATAAACCTACCTACACCAAAGAAACATTATGGAATTCATAAAACAAAATTTTGAAAAAAAATCATCATTTTTTTTGGCAAATTTGACAACCACTGGCATTTTTTAACGATGCTTATTTCTATCGTAACTACGTATTGCATCTTTTTCTATCATATTTGATTCTTCGTAATTCCTCAGTTAGTGAAATTTTCTGGTCTAGCTCTACATTTACTACGATGCATAAAATCCTTATTCACTGACTGTTTTACGTATTCACGCTCTACTGATCACCCTTCTTGTTCACATGAATGTCTTTGGAATGAAGATATCCCGCTATTACAAACACAATTTACATGTCTGGCTCATACTGAACAATTCGAGAAGCAGAGATTTCGAGAGCTCAGAATGTTTCTTTCAGATGAAGATGGAAGAAACTGCCTATCCGAAACAACTACTTTCACTTTTTACCATCGGGTTTGTACTACAAACATTCGTTATGGAATTGAAACAGACATCGTTAACAGGAACGCTACACAACTCAATATATCACATCACATCCCTCATAAATTTGTGTTTCAGTACTGGAGTATTTCTGGAATCAATAAAAATCGCCAGGGTAATTGCCATTTTGAAAAAAGGAGACCCCTCGATCCAGGGCAATTATCGACCAATATCATTAATTCCGATTATTGAGAAAGTTTTTGAAATATTGATTGAAAATCGCTTGATAGTTTTCTTTGAAAAATACTCCCTTATACACAAATTCCAGTTCGGGTTCAGAAAAAATCGGAGCACACTTGATGCAGTTTACACTGTGGTAAAAAATGTAGTCCAGAGTTTCGAAGAGGGTACTTATACTTCAATTACCTTAGTAGATCTCAGCAAGGCCTTTGACTACGTTTCCCATGATCTACTGATAAGAAAGCTGGAGCACTATGGTATAAGAAGGCTACCACTGAAACTATTGAAATCTTACCTAATGGACAGATATATATATGTGTCTCAGATGACACGAGACGTTCCCAAGTGGAAAAATTAATCATGGCGTTCCGCAAGGGTCGGTTTTAGGGCCCCTTCTTTCTATCATCTATATAAATGATCTTTTCTATCAATTTTTCTAATAAAATAGTTATGTATGCTGATGATGCTACCATACTTAACACCGACCGTATTCTACACAATCCCACAAATATAGAGGATGAGGTATTAGACTCAGCTGAACATTGGTATTCTGATAACCTACTGACAGTGATAGTGAAACAGAAAATACGGAAGAGGATTATCAGAAGCATTCGAAGAATGCTTCCCTGTTATTTGAATCTCTATTTTCCCAGAAATGATTATTGAATAACGAAATTAGTTAGCTCCCTAACTATATTATTTAAGGGGAGCTTTTGGAAGGTAGGAGCACTATATCGTTTACTTGAACTATACTTTAAGATATGAGATATCTTTATTCAGCTTGTGCTGGAAATTACCCTTAAAATTATGTAATGCGTACAGAAAGAATCATGAATATGTGAAATAATAATGAATCAATGACATTTTTGACAAGTTCCTATATTTGAAGAGTTATATCTGAATATGAGTGGGTCTAATATGGCATATGTTTTTGAAGCATCCGAAATCTGGTAGTCAATTACACTAACAAATCTGCACGAATACGAAACGGAGTTGTTCAAACGAGTCATTTAAAATATAACTGTGATTCTGAATAGTTTCTTTTTTATTTCTTTGTCTTCAGGGCATTGAGCTGTAGGTATGAGAGCGAGCTCTTGAAAAATCGCTGTCGACAAACATTTCAAACATCTGTTGTTATCTGCTAAGATAAGATCATCAGAGACTCATTTATATATAATTCTTCATTGCTAACGTAAACATAGTACTTGAAATTTATAATGAGTGATTGAAAAAATTCGTCCAAAGTATAATTTCAAAATTCTTTCATCTCTAGAAATATCTACCGTCTGTGAGACAACCCCTTACTGTTTATCTCCCTGCGGACTGATGTATCTGAATGAGTTTAGCTGTACAACTGTGCTTCAAATATACTTTTGTATTTGTTAAACTGGTACTCAAACAATTCAGTCGCGTTACGTACAAAAGAAATGACATGAATGATGACATTCAAGAAATATAATTATGCCTTTTCAAAAACGCAAGGAAAGCTCAATCAAATAGTTCAAAGACATACTAAAAATCAATCAATCAGTGTGGTTCGAGTTTGATTTTTTATACTAACAGATGTTCACAGTTGGTGCCAGAAAACCTATGATGATCCCCTTTACCAGGAGGACAAAATAGGACGATATAACGCCACTTTTTCTCATTGGTGAGGTCATTCCATTTGGAACGGAGGTGAAATATCTTGGCATTATCCTTGATAAAAAATTCACCTCGAACGATCACTTGGAAAAAGTTTCACACAAAGCCAGACTGTCCCTATTGACATATCGAAAAATTTGTGGTAAAACTTGGGGTTTAGGCCCCAACAAATCCATTGCATTTATGTGATGATTCTGAGACCAAAGATCACTGGTGGAGCAATTGCCTGGTGGTCGAAGGCTTTACAGAAACGGCTCAGGTGAAGCTCTCTGGCCTACAGAGAGAGGCTTGTCTGTGGTGCCATCAGTACCAAATCGTCAGTGGCCATAGAGATTCTTCTAGACCTACCTCCTTTCCACATTTTTCTGGAGAGAGGCAGCATATAGAGAACTGCATATAGACTTGTGCACATTACCAATTGCACACATCAATTTATTGCAGAGTGCAACAGACTGTTGATTGACACTGTAAGTCATTCTAAAAATAACCTCTGACCTCATACAGTGTTTTCCCGAGTAGAGAGGACTGGATCCTTCGGGAGAAGGAAATATTAGGAGCAGATAGTTACTTCTTTGCATTATCTCCGCATTTTTTTAGAG